AATCGCCCAGTTCTAGAAGAGAATCGACGACTTTGACTGGTAAATCTGAGACTCTCCCACCCCATGTTGATTCTTGAGTAAAATCGGGAATCGTCCCTCATGTTGATTCTTGCGTAAAATCGGGAATCGCTCTATAACCGACGACTTTGAATAGTAAATCGTTCATATGACATCATAAATTGTGATTCGATGACATTGAATAGTAAATCGTTCATATGACATCATAAATTGTGATTCGGCGACTGTGAATAGTAAATCGTTCATATGATATCATAAATCATGATTCTAAGCGACTTTGAATACTAAATCGTTCATATGACATCATAAATCATGATTCTAAGTGGCTTATGACATCATAGGTCGGCGAGTCACTAAATAAAGATATTTTAGTAATTTAGTTTAAAAGATAGCATTGCACGTGTACCCTTTCTCTCGATCACGCTGACAGTTATGCTATAGAAGAGGTACCTATAGTTCTTAAAGTTTGTTTGATTCTTCGATGTGGGATTTGAGCTGAGTGATATAACATTGAAACGTTATTCAATATATACAATTATTGTACAAAAGTATTCAACACAAAGCAATGGGCAGCTATGATTATCAACTAGATTTTTTCTTGGGACGTCTCAAGTTCAGACGTTATTCTTTGCGATTTTATTTTTGTCTTAAAAAAAGAAAAAGAAAAGAAAATAATATCATAAAAAAAAAAAGACAAATAAAAAGAAGAAAATAATATCATCAAGAAAATAAAAGGAAAAAATATGTTTTACTTTTGTCTTAAAAAAAAAATAAAAATAAGAAACTAATGTCATCAGAAAAATAAAAGGAAAAAAAATAAAAGGTAATACAACAAGCATTTTTTGCCAAAAAACAAAAAAGACAACGCATCTTCTTTTTTTTCTTATAAAAAACAAACATAACAAAAAAAGCATTTATTGTCAAAAAAATAAAATAAAAGGTATAAAAAAAATAAAACGTACTTTGGCAGCATTATTTTCTTGTAAAAAAATAAAAAGTAATACAAAAAGCAAAAAAAAGGTAATACAACATCTTCTCCTTTTTTTCTATCAAAAAAAAAGAAAGAAGTAATACAACCAGTATCATATTTTCTCGTCAAAAAAAAGAAGGAAAAGTTTATATAGAGCCTAGGCTCTAAACAATCAAATAAGAGCTTACTTCAAAACATTCAATAGAATAGGTCATTTTGATGCTCGAAATATCATCAAATTAATCATCTCGACATCAAGATCCATGGACATAAGAAAAAAATGAATTTCAAGTTTTAGAAATAGGTCATCTTGTAACGCATTTTTCGACCGTCAATTTTTAAGATTTTCAAGTTTTCATAGATCTGATCGATCTACACTATTTTTGAAGCGTTAAGTTTTATAACGAAAGATGAAAGTATAATTTAAGGCTATCACAAAACTTTGTGGCATTCACACTATTTGAAGATGGGCTCAAATTTGATTGTTTTTCGACATTATTTTATTCTTGTCAAAAAATAAAAGGTATTTCTTAATACAACAAGCATTTTTTAATACAAACTAGGAATAACTGATCTAATTATAATTTTTATTTTTACAATATGGTAATCTTTAACATAAATTTAAGAATATTAATTTTAAGATAGGGTTCAAACAATGAGACCATTTGAAATATCTCTCTGTCTCCTAACAAATCTATTCCACTAAATTTATTCTAGAAATCTAAAAAATTAAATTTTTGAAAAATTGAAGTGTTATTTCGACAATTGATACGCATTCTAATAATTTCTATATTGATAACCAAATATTTTATTTTTTATTAATTTATTTGCATTATAAATCATGTAATGTACTATTTTTCTTACAGTTGTCAATAATACATTTTAAATTAAATGATATTATAATATATTTTGAATTTGTTTATATTTAAATAATAAAATAATTATAAAATGTAAACCAACAATTTCAATTTCAGTATATAATATTGTAGTTAGTGAGGTCGCAATAATTTTGGATTATAATTAGTTAGGTTGTAATAATTTGGGTTTTTTTTTAGCGGGTTAGGGTTTTCCGCCAATTTGAGATTTTAATGGCCATTTTCTCATTGATTTAATCCAATATTTATTGTAGTCTATGGATGATTATATACTTTATCCATGATAATTCTATTTTTATTTTATTTTATTTGATGTAAATTTAATGGTTAACATAAGTTCATACAGGGAAAGAACATCTCAATATTCGTAAATTGATAAAAAAATGAAAGTTAATAATATAATACCCGTATTTCTTATTGGATTTATAAAAAACAACATTTATAATGAATTTTAATAATTCTTTTGCAATTTTTTTTAAGCTTTAATGGGATCGATTCACCAATCTGGATGGGTTTTGGAGTGTCTGATCCGAGGCACGGATCCGTTTTTTAAACCACTGTTTAAACCTATAGCGTCCTTATAAAGAGCAAGTGATAGATTCAATAATACTAAAGATTTAGGTAGCTTGGAATTCAATGCGAAATTCAAATTTACTTAAGCATTTTATTACTTTTTTATGCATAAGAAGTTTGATTAATTCATATTTGATTTTTTATTTTTTATTTCATTGGTGTTTGGTATTTGCATTTTCTTTTAATTGCAATCCTATATTGGGGGCTTTTTTGTTTTTGTAAAATAATCACGTAGCTTAGTTCACAGTTCTTATTATTTGCTAATTAGTTATTGTGTTTAGTATTGTTGTTGTTTTATTTTAAGCCCCCAATAAATCTATAAAATGTTTTGCGCTGTAACAAGTAAGCATTGTTGTTGGATTTATTGAAAGAAAATTATTTCATGCGGGCTGGACCACATTTCTACATATGTAGACAAGAAAGTGTAAAGCATCCATCTTAAAGATGGATGCAAGTAGGTGTTCCATCTAAAAACAATGAAAACCAACGGTCCAAATGTTTTTCTTACTAGAATTATTATTTATAATTTTTAAAATTTATTTATTTTTTCATATTCATGATCTCCATGTTCGAGATTACATATCCTTTAAAAATTAAGTATTAAAATTCATCTAAAAAATAGATTTATTAATAGGCCCGCATTTCTACATATGCGGGCTTGGCTGCATAGAAACTAAATCCTTTATTGAAAGTTTCAACAAAACTTGTCTAGTATTACTCTAAGGAAAAAGTTTATACAAGGTTGCAGAGCTATGAATCCACCTAAAAAATCCATCAGAAAAGGTAGTTTAATGTTGAAAAACCCTTTAATTGATCATCTCGACATCGAGATGTATGACCA